GGCCAACTTGACACTATTCCCTTTTATTTTGTCAAGTCAAACTGTCAGCAAGCTCTGTTGATCCCAGCACTCAAGTCTCAAGTGTTGTTTTAATTAATCTTGTCTTCCCATTTCTGCTGCCAGGCCCGCCCTCATCCCCTTAGTCCTAGCTTTGTGCCAGCCTTTGGACTTCTCTTCTGCTTGTAGGACTGCTTAACTCAAACCTAGCTAGGAAGCAGAGAGCCTCATGGTAAAAAACACCCAAGATATCAACATCACAGTAAATACTGTCTCCTTGAATGGTCTTGACATCAACGATTATTTGTTTCTTTGTTATTTTCTCTCAACTCTCAGTGGCATGGAGACTCCTTGAGGCAGGGCCTTGTGAAACTTTTCATACAGATCTTCAAATTTTCCACCACACTTCTGGCTAAGTGTCATATACTCAGTTGGCTCTTAACAATCAAGCAGCTAACACTCATGACTTAGTTAATGAGTCATCAATTGATACATTATCGTTTGGAGAATCTCAGAACTTTTTCTGAAATACATTAGGCACAAACAGATGCCTTTCAGGAGATACTTTTTTACTTTCCTAACATTGCCAATAATTCTTTAAATTTCTCTAATTTCAAAACTAGCAATTAGGGCAAACCATGGTAGTGTAGGACTAACACAACATTCCACAATGCTAAGGCCACACGGGAAGTTCCTGGGTTCATGTCCTGAGGTCACCCTGTGCACGTTGGGTGCAGATGTGTGTGTGTGTGTGTGAACCTGTGATCAAGGCTGGCTGCAGGGCTAGATGTGGACGAGGAACCAACCATGGTGGGAGGGCCCTATTGGTGGTTACACCCTCTCCCTCTCCTGCCCCATCTTCCCTGCTCATAGACGAAATAAAAACAGGCTTTTAAAAAAAATTAGGGGCCAAAAGTTGGTGTAATGGTTACTTTGCTGGACTCCCACATACTCAACTGTGGTTCGAGTCCCAGACCTGGAGACTTAAAACTTATGCCAGATGTGTGCATTTATGCTCTAAATAAATAAATAAATCAAACAGAAAAACAACCTAATAACCTAATAATTATATGGAAAACTTTCAAACAGCCTAGTTCTATTTCTAGAGACTTGAAATACAATATCCCCCAATTTAATTTCATCTGTAGTTACTACTTACTCATAAAACTTACAAAAAATTATGCCATTACATCACTGGGATATGTGATTTGATCAGTTATCAAATCCCTTTAGATAGCTCAAAAACTTAGCCAAGATTCCTTCATTTGTAATTTTTAATAAAGGATTATATTATTCAATTCTTAGGTCCAAGCTAATTACCCATGAGTATAGTTTTGGTCATATAAGAGAAAAATTTATATTTTTGTTAAAAAGTTGATTTCATAGTATTTCAGAGAATTATCCCTTTCTCACTACTTTTTTTGAAAGAGGTTTTTGCTATAGGGCACACGTGCTCACCAGAAAGACAGAGAGAGACAGAGAGACAGAAAGTGAGAAATCACCCCCCAGGAGGAATGGTCACGCCGCAATCCCTTCTCTTCCATTCTCCTCTCGGGATCTTGGGCACGCACGCACATGCACCTAGCATACGTTTAAGTCACTGGGTCCAGGGATTTGAACCGTGGTTAACTACATGGGAGTCCAGTGACATAGCCATTACGCCAACTACTGGTCCCTTCTCATTACTTTTTAAGAAATTATTTTGATTTAACATCTTCAGTAAGGTAATATTCAAGACAGTAAATAAGCGGTAGTGGAGCTTTGCTTACGTTTTAGAACATTTGAGAAAGAAAACATCAGATATGCTCCCTCTGAAGTATCAATAACGCAGAGCACGTATAACTGCCCAGAGCAGGGTGAGATTCACAGATGACACAGGTGGTCTCAGCTCCCCAGTCAGCAGAGGAGTGAATGGCTGGGTACCTGCCAGGGTAGGAGGAGCTCTCCCACCTCTCTCCTACCTTCCTGATCTTTTCTGGGGTGTCTCCCAGCAAGGCTTCCCCTCCTTGCTGTCTGCCACGTTAACACCTGCTGTTCTCCCTGGCTTCACTTCAGCCCTCCATCTGGTTTCCTTAAGTCAATCTTGGTCTTCCTCACGTCACCTTTTCCTCTTCAGGGAATGAATGGGGGAGGATGAGTTAGTGCTGAATTTCTAGCTAGGAGGCAAAACTCTGAATACTGTGATCTTTGTTATCTTGTGAATGCAGAATGCCACTGTGCGAGACACCCATGTGCATGCCTTCAGCCACCCCTCTTGGAGTCAAAGCTTCCAGAGTTTGTGTTTATTACCTTCTCAATCAAGTTTCAGTCTTCATTTAGATATTTGTGCATAGCTTAAGTGCCTGTGCTCAGAGCCAGGGCAGGAGGGCTAGTGTGGAAAGCAGTGAAGACTCCGAGCTTCAGAACTGGCAGAATGTAAAGGTGTTCAAGCTTTAAATATTCCCAAACCTCATGCCATGCAAACAGAAGGAAGGAGGGGCCCTGCAAGGAATCTCTGGTCAAGAAAGGCTGCCCTTAATAAAGTATCAGTGGTATGAGTACAAGATTTTATAATTTTAACATATCTGAAATTGGACTCTTTAAACTGATGGTGCATCAAAGTATAGGTAGCTCGAATAATGGTGCATCTCACAGTGAGTGATGATGGGACGGTTAGCTGACGTCCGGTAAGCTGGATAATAGAGCTACGGCCTGGCTAAGAGGACAGAGAAAGAAAAGCTTTCAAGTGTTCTAGGCCATTGGCTTCCCCAGGCGCGCAGAGATGAAGAGTCCCTGTGACTTCATGTCTGGGAGCAGGGAGCCCTCGTATCAGCTGTGCCTACTCACCACCCATCTAAAGGCAGCTCTGCACCCTCACCTTCAGACAAATCTCATCTCACTCTGTCCATTCTGAGTTATAAATCAAGGGGGCTGGGGGTGGGTTGGGGGTAGAAACTTGTAGAGATTTTCTCACAAAATTTTCAGGCTTAAAGAAATCTCAGGGTGTTATCAAGCCTCCAAACTCAATTCAATCCCCCTTCTATTACCTTCCTTTACTTCAGATAAGAACTTGCTTTCTCCTCTCACTCATACTGTTAGCAGCATGATACGTTGCTCTTTTTTTCTTTTCAAATTCTAGAACACGTATTTTTTAAAAAATTAGATGGCATTTTAAGGAATTACATAACTGGACTAAGCTATGTTCTAAGATTTTGAGAAAAATGATTTAACTTGTGTAGCTGTCAATGCAGTTATTAATACAGCAAAGGGATTTGGTCTGAGCCCTAACATTGGTGCTCTGTGAGTAAGGGACACCGGCCTCACCCACCCCACACCACAGATAAAAACGTAATCCTAGGCCGAGGCAGCTGATCTTGGGTGCCCCATGCTGGCATGCCTCCCCCTCCCACCTCCCATTTCTTGGAACTCTTACTGTTATTCCAAGCATTTCTAATGTACTTCTTCCAACGTGAAAAGAGCCCCCATGTCAGCTGTCTCAGATTTCCTCCATCAGTTTTAGGTTTTGAACTACTGAAGTCTAAGAAGAGATTGATACTCAAAACCATGACCAACACATGGGGAAGGCACCAGCCAATGAGAAGAGCTGTCTGCCAGTTTGGGAACAGGACCTTGGAGGTACCAGCTTTGGTGCCTGATCCTGTCATTGGTCCACTGGGAATGTCCAGAGGGTCTTGAAAGTGGGGTCTATATAGTTAGAGTGGCATTTGGGGGGTTCAGTGAAGTAGCTATTTACCATTCAGTGTTTATGTAAATAAATATTTTAATAATTATACAGATGTACTGTATCCAGACTTAACGTCAATTAAAATCAACGTTAATTACTGCACTGCAGAGTACTGTATTGAAAAGGATTCTGAAGTTATATCCGACCCAGTGGAGAACAAAGGGACCTGATCAATTAGTCATTTCTGGCAAGGTTGGTGGACGAGAATACGTAATTTCTGCACAAGTGGTGGGTGAGAGTTTGTGGTTTCTGCCAAGTTGTAGAGGGCAATCTATGCCACAGACCTACAACAGCAGTTAACAAGCCTATCAGAACCATAAGGGAGAACTCTTCACTAAACAAGAAATCCATAAGCACTGCAGTGGGTTGAAGAATGTCTTCCAAAAATTGATGTCCGCCCAAACCTCAGAACGGGAACTAATTTGGGAAGTGGAGTCTTTGCAGATGTAACTGGTTAAGGATCATGATGAGATCATACTGGGTTAGAGGGAGCACTAAATCCGGCAAGAGCGTTTTTATGAGACCAGACGCAGACATACAGAGACAGAGAAGGCCATGTGAGGACGAGGAGTTCACAACAGAGACTGCTCTAGGCTTCTCTGCTCCTGTCTCCGGCAGAGACTGGAGCTACACTACCATAAACCCCGGAACTCCGGGAGACATCGGAAGCTGGAAAAGGCAAGGAAAGATACTTCTCTAAAGTGTTTGGAGGGGCTATGGCTCTGCCAACACCTTGATTTCAAACTCTGGGCCTCCAGAACTGTGAACAAATAAACGTGTGCTTTTTTAAGCCAAGTTTGTGGTGCTTGGTTACAGCAGACCTAGCAACTAAAATACAAATACATTGCTAATGGTGGAATTCAGGCAAATGGAAGATTTATTGATTTTGGGGGGAAATTCTAACACCTGTATCCCCTCCATCATCCCCTCCCATGATTATGGAATAATTTATTTCTCAGTTATGTTATGCTAGGGTCCTGACAGAGGGTGACACTAATGTACTTCTTCAATGAATGAGACAGAGACCCTCTATCCCTCCTGTCCTGCAGAACCCCACCCCATCTCAAGGCGCACACTTGTGGCCAGTCATTCTGTCAGCATTTTCAGAAGACAGCAGAGCAACAGAGCTCTTCCTGCCAATACCCTCAGACACGCCAAGGAGAGGCTGACCTGTCCCCTTTGAGAATATATGAAGAAACCTAATCGGTGGTCTAAAACCATCTCATACTTTCAATAACCCCCAAATTCTCGAGACGGTGAGTATAATTAAAACACGTACCTGCAGTGTTAAGCTCTCTGGCCAGTTGAGTATTTGCAAGTTAAAAATCTGTCCAAAGTGAACTCGGAAGTCTGCTCCTAGCTGCCGACTGACTGTCCTGGAGACCTCCTTGTGGTTGAAGAGCACTTTCAAGTACACTGAGCGCCTCTTCACGTCTTCCCGCCGCAGGACCTCTACCCTGCGGGAAGATAGCGGTGCCAGGTGTGGTCAGGGTTAACGTACTGAGGGTCACGGGGACATGTGCTAGACGGGCACTGAGCAGGACGGCAGGCTCTGAGGCAGCTGTCACGTCAGCCTTTATGTAACCAAAGTAGTCACAGGTCTTGCGTAGTTTCCTGTAATAAAGTACCGCGATGTGAAGCTTGTGGAGACGCCATTAACGGGGTGCGGTGGTACATGCGTTGTACCAAAGTGTCTTCAGTTTTTCAAACAAGCCTTACATTTGCATACCAGATCAAGTTTTAGGAAAACATAGTCCTTGTTAAATGAAATAAATTCAGACCATAAAGGAATCATACTGAATTTCATTTTGGTAAGAAGTTATATCTTTGGACCAGCAGTTAGCGTAATGGTTATGTCGCTGGACTCCCATGTAGTCGACCGCGGTTCACGTCCCGGACCCGGTGGCTTAAAACTCATGCTGGGCACGTGTGCGTGTGTGTCCAAGATCCCGAGAAGAGAATGGAGGAGAAGGGATTGTGGTGTGGCCACCCCACATGAGTTTTAAAACTCACGCCCGGCGTGAGTTTTAAGCCACCGGGTCCAGGACGCGAACCATAGTCGACTACGTGGGAGTCCAGCGACATAGCCATTATGCTAACTGCTGGTTCCCAGATTTGGTTCCTTCTTAGAACTCTTTTCCTAGTGACCCCCTGCAAGAGACAGACTAAAACACCACCCATTTCAGCACAGCCCCGCTTACCCGATGGTCTGATAAAGAGAGGTTAGCTGAGGTGTAAGCTGGGTTCTTGTCCAAAACTTATTATGACTTATTATGACTGAATTGTACACTATTAGTCAAAAAGGGACTCGCCATAAAACAGTATGATCAAATCAAGCCAAAACTTTCCCTTTAAAAACATGCTTTGTAATCATGTATTTTGAATATTCACAACATTGAAAAATTACATGGTATGTAATTTGTGGATTGAAAATAGACAATTTAGTCCTGAGGAATAGTTTACGTACAGTATCCAACTATGTGAAGCTGAGAGAACATATGAAAATACACAAGAAGCAGAGCCGGACAGCGGTGCAGTGGTAAAACACTATGCTCCGCAAGGCAATTTCCCGTAGGAGGGTTTCCGGTTCAGGTCCAGAGACCGCCCTGACTATGCCCAGCACGCGTGTGCCTAATTCAGAGCTGGCTGGAGCTGGGGCTATCACAGCATCAAGAACTGCTGGGGAACTGTATCTCTCAAAAGAGAGAGAACGAAGGAAGGAAGGAAGGAAGGAAGAAGCTTTACTTTTTTTAAAAAAGTTTTGCTATAGGGTGTGTATGTATGTTTACTGGAGAGAGAGATGGAATGTGAGAAAGCACCCACCGGAGGGATTGCCGGGATTGCCATGACAGTCCCTTCTCCTTCATTTTCCTTTCAGAATTCTGGGCATGCAGCACACGTGCCTGGAAGGTTTTTCAAGCCACTGGGTCCTGGAGTCAAACTACACAGTTGGCCACGTGAGAGCCTTTCACTGTACTATGCCATTAGCTGGCCCGAAATAAGTAAAATGAAAATATGCAAGAAGCTCAAGATACAATGTAGAAATAAATGTATTAGTACATTAACAGATGTTTCAAATCAGCAGATTGTAGGAAGTTGCTTGAAGACCTCCTCATAAACTGGGAGGCGGTCCAACTTGAATTCTCATTTTTATGTTGAAGTAGTGAAGGTTCCCAGTCTATGAGATGCCCTTATTCATAAGAGGTCTTGTCTAGAGATACCTAGTGATATCGATGATCTTAGTAGGTTCCCTTCACGACATGCTATGCTATGATGGTGTGATTATGATGTGCTGTAGATACGACCCTGACATGCTATACTTACATGATAAGATGTGTTAGAGCATGTTTCAGCACCACTTGGAGACACTGTGAAAACACCACTTTCTGGACCCATCACAGAGTTTAAGACTCGGCAAGTCTTGGGCTGCACCTGAGAGACTGTATTTCTGACACATTCTCAGGTGAGGCTGATGCTGTGATCCTGGGGCTACACTGAGAACTGTGGCTATCGTGTGTAGAGGGAAATAAATAAGACATTTAAAAATATTTGTATTATGTTTTTAAAAAAGAGGATAACTATAGAAATGTAAGCTTCTGGATTTATATGTGTGTGAGTGTATGCAGACTTTTATCAGATTTGGGAGGTATGCTTCAGTGACCTGACTTCAGTACAGGATACAAGGCAGACCCGCAGTACCCTCGGAAGGTTCTATGACATCTTCAAAGAGGGAAGCTGGCCTGCGGAGCCACGGACATCACATGCTGGGGTGAGCTGGTGGCATGGTATTTAAGGTGCTGGACTCCCATGTGGCCAACAATGGATCAAGTCCTGGACCTGGTGTCTTGCCTTCTCACACCTCCCCCCCATCTCTCTCTAGTGAGTGCACATAATTGAAAAATAATAATAAATAAAATTAATAATTATTTAATAAAAAAGAAAGGAAATCACATGGCAAGGAGAGGCCTTGGGGTCTGGGTTAGGGAGGAGAAACATGCGGCCGGTAGGCAGTAAAGGTACAGTGTGGCTACAGATAAGGGGCCTAAATCAAAGCTGCATAGATAGCTCCTGTGGAGAGGCCCAGACCTGCCACTGGGATGCTCCTACGGGCAGGTGTGCACGGCATGCTCCTGGGTAGCCGGTGGGAAGGCGTCAGGTAGTGAATGGTGAAATCACCAAGTGTAAAATAGCAACTTCCTGTGACTTGCCCTAACAGACCTTCACCCAGAGTCGGTGGGGGATCCTTCTGATCACACTGTGAAGCAGAGCCACATATTCCACATAATGTACACGTGTGTCAAATGTCAACCTTTTCTATGGTCAGAGCACCTGCTCACCTGGGACACTGGTCATTGGGCGTCATGCTCCCTGCCAGGCTCAGCTCTGGGACCAGCACAGGCTCCCCGGGCTTCCTCCTGCTCTGGGCCGCTCTCTCTCTCACCTGCTGCTCTATCACGGGCCTGTCTGGAGGGTCTGGAGGGATGGGCTTCACAGGCTCCTCTTCAGGATACGGCTCTTCGATCTCTTCATCAGGATGCTCCTCTGCTGCGTGTTTTTTTTTCTTCTTCTTGGCTCTCTGTTGGGTAAGAGGCAACTTGATGTCAAACAGGAATTCTGGGATTTTATTTAAGAGCACAGTCTTCAGAGCCACGGAACCCTGGATGTAAACCTCGGTCCCAACTCAACTGGCCATGTGCACTCAGCCAGGTCACTAAGGCACCAGACCTCTGTGAGCCTCAGTTTTCTCATTTACAAAATGGGACAAGCCTAGAAAACTCTTCCCAGGGCTACTGAAGTGTGGTAACGTCTGTAAGTCACTTATCACAGTGCTTGGTCCTCGAAAGAGCTTACACAATGGTAGCTATTCATATGATCCTGAACGTTGGCTCTCAAGAACAAAGACGTGTCTTAAAATGAAAGTAAATCTTGTGAATCACCCTCATCTAGAACTTGTTGCCCTTCGATTCAGTTTCACAGGGTCATGTGCATAATGTCATACAGTTTGCTAAGGGAAACTCAGAAGCCCCAATACCCTACATTCAAAAGGACAATGCATGTAAAATATTTAGCACAGTGCTGGGCACATACATTGCTTGCTTGTTCAATAAAATATACAGAGTTCTACCACAGAACTATCTATGCACAGAGCTGGCTCTGGTATCAGCTAGCTGGGTTCTTTTTTACGCAAATGCACAAACTAGCCAATTTATCATCTGTTTGTTCCTCAGCGAGTGGCCAGAGAGAGAGCAGCACAGGGCTGGTAGGGGACACCGGTCTGCCTGTACAGTCCCTCCTATGTCAGAGGCCACTTTCTCAAACCCTTCCTGGTCAGCTGTTTCAGGCCAAACAACTGTTTACTAACTTGGGCTTTCTTCCAGGCTTTCCAGTGCTGGTATGAAGTTCTGTACTCTTCCATTTTCTGTTCATATTCTTCTGTGTGCTCTTCCAACAATTCACTGATTTCAGCTTGGATTTCTGCTTCAAATGCTTCTTCATCTGCTTTCTGGTCAACTTTTTCCCTTTAAAATAATTACAACACCTTGGTTATTTCTTGAAGTTAAGAATGAGAAAAATCATGACAACAAATAATTATATGGGAGCTTGCTACGTGCTGGCTCCTCTTCTAAAAGTTGCCCACATTAACTTGCAACTCTGTGAGGCAGATTCGAACATGATCTGCCTTTTATGCATGACGTGACCATGGCACTGAGATGTCAAGCAGTTTGCCTAAGAATATACATCTGGAAGTAGAAGTGCTGGGACACGGGCCAGCCCCCCGGGCACTGAGCAGCAATGTCTCCGAGTTAGAGATCCACAAGGTGTGCTCACAGGGCCTGTGAATCCTCACGCATAGTGGTAAAAGTTTCACTGTAGTTATTTCATCAATTCTTCAAGTCTGCTTTTTGTTGCTACTGAGTCTTTGAAATCACCTTTTTTACTTTGAATGAATGATTTTAATTTTTCTTTGATGATTTTGTTGACACTGCATCAGGAGATCAGCTCAACCCAAGCAAGTGTTCCCTGGTGTACTCCTCAGAGCGTTAGTTCTGTGAGATGCCCTACGAAAACGGTGTCAGTGTGACGATCTAGTGATAGTACGGGTGGGGCTCGTGCTAGATTATGTACATGTGCTTGCTGCTCATCCTTCCAAAGCCCTGTCCACATTAGTGAGCAGTGTGCCTGTCCAGGTGACGATGACAAACACCCACCACCCACACCCACCAGTGCTTTAGCGATGGTGCACGTTTTGACGGTGCCATTTCTCCTAATGCACTCTTGTTTGTAAGTTCTGCCCTCCTAAAGTTCCTAGAGCTGACAGGGGCTTGCTGACATACACATGCAGCCTGGTGCTTTGGGAGTAAATGGTTTTCCAAGGCACAGACTTATAAATCTCTAAGATAATGACCCTAAAAATCACTTTGTGTTGGATTGTCGGAAAAGTCATGACGTATTTTTCTATGCAAAAATGTGTCATGATTTTTCCGACAACCCAATATATACAGTGAAATCTGAAATTTATAACCAACATGGAAATTTGTTCTAAAAATTATGTTCTATCTCTGAAGTACAGAGAACCACTACCTTTCCTCACTGTTATTTAGAGGCATAGGTAAACTACTTGAATATTGAGTAACTTTTTACAGAAAAACATTGTGTCTTCTTATAAGACAGTTAGGTGTGTTAGGAATGTGAAGAGGACTAGCCCCATAGCCAAGTGGCCATGGGAGCCAGATCCCACATGGATGACTAGGGTTCAAACCTGGACCAGGGGCTGGAAAAACACAGCTGGCGTATGTGTGTGTCCCTGACAGGATGGAGGAATGGAGAAGGGACTGTGGCGTGACCACGCCCACTGGGAGGTGCTTTCTCCTTCTCTTTCCTTCTTTCTGTCTCTCTTTGGCAAGGGCACAAGCCTTCTGGCAATTAAAAAAAAAAAAGAATTTGAAGAAAAGGCACTCCAAAAGAATTTGAGAGAGCTATTTACTGCAGGGAGGGGTGTTATGACTTTATGAGTAAATTTTCTACAAATTCACGTTATTCTATAAACCCAAGAAGAAAAAAAATGTAAGAAAGGGACAGGGGAGGGGAAAAGTAATCTGACAAAGACATGTATGTATACCGACTGACTGTGCTCTATAGCAGAAGCTGAGAGTTTGGAAGGTATTGTAGCAATCGTAGATACTAGAGTTAGTAAGGATAGGGGTAATATGGGGGTGGGTAATGGAGGGAGGGAAGGAGGGGAAAGGAGAAGAAAAATAAGTATGCTTAACTGACAAAAAATGAAAAGCTACGGGAACCAGCAGTTAGTGTAATGGCTAAGTCGCTGGACTCCCACGTAGTCGACCACGGTTTGCGTCCTGGACCCGGTGGCTTAAAACTCACGCCGGGCGCGTGTGCGTGCGTGCCCAAGATCCCGAGAGGAGAATGGAGGAGAAGGGATTGCAGCGTCGCTTTCTGTCTCTATGTCTCTCTCTGTCTGTCTGGTGAGCGAACGCGCCCTATAGCGAAAATCTCTCCAAAAAAAAGAAAAAAGAAAAGCTATTTGCCTATGATAATGTATATAGTAATATCTTTGTCTTGACTGATATGCACGGTATTCATGCTGGAAAAAGAAATGTTATACACTGTAAAGGTATATGTGATAAATGTAAATAAAAAATTTTAAAAAGGCTTTGCATTGCTTGTATATGAGAGCTAGGCTGGAATATTGAAATTTGGGAGCAGAAGTGCTGACATTTCTGGGAGAAATCCACAGTTTTTGTGAGGCAGAATGTTTGGATTTGTCTGTCATTAACCAATATTAACTAAGCAGACACTAAGTGACAAGTGGCTTACAGGGGCCCGGCAGCCAATGACAAGGTCTCTGTCCCCACATATAACAATACATATTCTTGTATTTTTCTTGAAGCTGTTTTTCAGTTTTATGAAAATTACAGCCCAAGAAAAAACAATTTACAGCTATCTTTGGCTAAAACGTGGTTGTTTTCAATTTTTAGAAAATTGCCTAAATTTGTTACTTTCATATGGATTTATGGGTACAAGAATTATCCAGAAGAAATGATCAGGAAGAAAATAAGGTCAACAGCAGAAATGGCCTTGCGTCAGTATCTAGAACCCAGTTCTGTTGTGATAAGCCGTGACCTTCATCATATGTAAATGTCTAATAAGTTAATAGTGCAAGGTCCCTTTCAGGAAAGCTCTGAGCACCACCTGGCATTGCTCCAGCCCGATAAGAAACCCAGGCTGGACCTCTGCAGGACTGGTCTTGGCAGGAGCCTCCACCCCAGGTGCTGCCACTACAAGGTCACTGCCCTGGGAGTAGCAGTGACACGAAGCAGTACTGAGAACCTCTCCTGCACATGGGTCTGGCACACAGTCTCCCAGAAGATCCTGCTTGTCCTATAAAAGAAACCCTCTCCTTTCTGGAGCATGCGTGGGGGCTGAGGCATCTCTGAGGCAGCGTGGACTTCAGACCCCTGGGCACTCTTTCTCTCAATAAACTTTCCTTTCCTTTTCTCTTGAGATGATGCCTCCGACTGTGACAGGTGGTAGCATAAATGCTAACAAGGCACACGTACTTTCTCCATACCACAAAGATTAATTCCAAACAGACGGAAAATGAAATGTGAAAGACAGAAGTGCGAAGGTCACGGGAGACAATACTGAAGAGTCTCTACATTACTCAAGGGAAGGGTTTCTTAAACAACGTAATAAAAAGCACTGGTCATGGGCCAGCAGAGGCATGGTGGGGAAGGCGGCTGGATCCCACAAGGCTGACTCTGTGGGTTTTTTTTTTAATTTTTGGAGAGGTTTTTGCTATAGGGCACGTGCACTCGCCAGACAGACAGAGAGAGACAGAGAGACAGAAAGTGATAAACCACACCCCAGGGGGGATGGCTATGCCACAATCCCTTCTCCTCCATTCTCCTCTGGGGATCTTGGGAACGCATGCACACGCTCTTGGTGTGAGTTTAAGCCACTGGGTCTGGGACTCGAACCGCGGTCGACTACGTGAGAATCCAGCGACATAGCCATTATGCCAACTGCTGGTCCCAAGGCTGACTGTGGTTTGAATCCTGGAACTGGCAGTTTGAAAATCTGTGCATGCCCAAGATCCAGAAAACGGCATGGCCATCGCCCTTGGGAGCTGCTTTCTCATCCTCCCTCCCTACCTCTGTCTCCCTCTGCTGAGTGTTCTCTGTCTCTCTCCAGCAAGTGCATACACCCTATAACAAAAACTAAAAAAAAAAAAAGAAAAAAAGAAAAGAAAAAAAGCTAACTAATATAATTCATCTCCTAAAAATCCAGACTTTCTATTCATCAAAACGCAATGAAAAGAGAGTAGAAAGATAATTATAGATTGGGAAAACTCTTATAAATTACAAAAAAGAGAAAAACAATCCAATTTGAAAATGGACAAAAGCTTTGACCAGACACCTTACAAAAGAGGAAGTTCGAGTGGCCAATTTACGTATGAAAAAATGCTCACCTTCATGAATAGTAAGGAAATACAAATTAAAACATTCCAGCAGAAAGACATAATGTCAAAGTTTGACACCAGCAGGTAACACGGACAGCCGGGTGCTACGGACCTACGGGAGTATCACCGTAGGTTGTACCGTCATAGTCATGGTGGGGAAGGGTTAGAAACAGCATGTGAAGCTGGAGAAATACATCTTCCTAAGACTCAATTGCACTTCCAAAAGATTTCTAAAAATATCATGCAAATGTGCTCTAAAAACCAAATATGGGGACCAACAGTTGGCATAATGGCTATGTCGCTGGAATTCCATGTAGCTGACTGCGGTTCAAGTCCCAGACCCAGTGGCTTAAACTCACACCAGGCACGTGTACGAGCATGCCCCAGACCCCAAGAGGATAATGGAAGAGAAAAGACTGCGGCATGGCCATCCCCCAGGGGGATGATTTCTCACTTTCTGTCTTTCTATCCTCTCTTTCTCTCTTTGGATCTCTGGTGAATGCACACAGTCTATAGCAAAAACCTCTCAAAAACAAAAACAAAAACAAAAACAAATATGAACATGTCTACAGAGGTGATATTTATAGGGACCAGTAGATGGCGTAATAGTTACATCACTTGATTCCCATGTAATTGATGGAGGTTTGAGTCCCAGACCTGGCAGCTCAAAACTCATGTGTGCGCATGTGTGCCCAAAATCCTGAGAGGAAAATGGAAGAGAAAGGACCGTGGTACGGTCATCCCCCTCAGGATGGATCATTTCTTGCTTTCTGTCTGTCTCTGTTTCTTGGGCAAGCACATGCAACCTATAGCACAAATCTCTATATAAAAAAAGAAGAGATATTTGTAATAGTTGAGAAATGGAAACAACTCAAATGCCTATCAACAGTAACATGGCTATATTTATCTACTTATAGCAAAATATTATAAAACAAAACAGGCTACAGCTATGTGCTGTCAAGTAGCCCATCCTCAGGGACATAGTATTGAAGAAAGGACACCAGTGTATGCTCACTTAAGAGTCACACAATATACTGTCCCTTATGTGAGAGTCGAGTACCAGCCATATTAAACTATATATCCTTAGGGATTATGGACAGGTGGCATTGGGAGCAATGAGCACAGAAGTCCAAGGAGAAGCGACTTCGGGCATGGAGGCAAGACCATGGAGGAGAAAACCACGGGCTGCCCAGGGCTGGCAACAGCTCTATTTCTTAACCTGAAAGTAGTTCCACGGCTCTTCATTTGTACTTACTTTTTCAAGTGTATTTATAAATGTTTCTCATTTTTGTAGGCTATAGCCCAATAAAACAATGCTTGGAAAAAACCTACTTTCTCAAAACGAGTTTCAAGGGCGTATTCGTAAACCTCTGGAATTCTCGAAGGGATTTCATTTCTTTCCAAACTTTAATGATGGTCTTAAGCAGTGTTCGATCTTTTTCTTGTTCAGCATCACGCAGTTTTCTTGTTTGCCTACAAGGTAGGGAAATACATCAGTGTATCTCAAAATTTTATTCAGATGTGTTTTTTGCAAACAAAAAAGAAATTAATAATGCTACACTAATTGTCTATTCAACTTGATAGCTACAATAGTTCTAAACAAATACTAGAAAACAAACACTAATCAATTTTGAGAGGTTTATTTGATTTTATTCTCACTAGATGAATCTGTCTTCAATTAAACTAAATTACCTTTTAATATTCTTATTAAAATTATGCACCCATAAACCACCACCTTTGAAATTATGAAAATAAGGAGCCCAGTAAAGGTAACAGAAGCTAATTAATTGTAAACAGCACAATATGTGCTGTCCTAGTTAACAACAAGTATATTAAAGTCATTCTGTGTTAGCACAATCATGTCTACACTGACCAGATAAAGTTATGTTATTGTAGCCCTTAGAGAATTTTCAGTGCTAAATCGATTGCCAACATGTTTGGCTTCATCTGAAGAGGCATCATTTGAAAAAGCTTCCATCTTTGTATCCATTACTTAAAGTACTTGGTAATTATCAATTATTACTGCCTTACTTTAAGTATTCTTTTTTGTGTGTTTGTTTTACATTTAGAGGTTTTTGCCTTAGGGCACATGTGCTTGCCAGAGAAAGAGACAGATAGACACAGTGAGAAGGGAAGTGAGAAATCACCCCCTGGGCGGATGGCCACACCATCCCTTTTCCCCCATTCTCCTTCCAGGATCTTAGGCATGCACGTACACATGCCCAGCGTGAATTTTAAGCCACAGGGTCTGGGACTTGAACCGCAGTCGACCATGTGGAGTCCAGCAAAGGAACCGCCACACCATCTGCTGGTCCCCTTGCAGCACTCTTTGCAAATGATAGCCGAACTTGGACCCTGAATGTACTCTATTATGTCATTAATTATTTAATTAGCTACTGAGACAATCATTTAAGTTTTGAATAAGTGTATGTGTTATTTCAAGGAATTTAGAAAGACACTTCTGTCTCCTGGGAGTGGATAGTTGAGCTCAGGAGAGAGATACACGCATAAACGTTGGTAGCATAATGTGAGGTTTGCTCTGAGTGGAATGAGAGACCACAGAGTGAGCATCTCACAAGTCAGCAGCTCTGGACCTGGAGAAGACGGGCCTGAGTGTGGGCTTGGTACCTGTGATGGCCCAGTCTCAGGGATGGTACAGGGAGGGAGGCAGGGAGGCCTACGCGCTAATCACTCACCTGGCTGCCACGGACAAGATGGCAGGTGACAGCCAGCTCATCAAGGGTAGCCATGACTTACTGTTCCCTCAAGTGCTTAGGGAAGCAAGAATGTGAAAAACTAGAATAAGAAACCTCCCTGAGGAGCAGTCAAGGGTTGCGGTTAAAGAGCATGGTTGCTGGACCTAGCCTACTCAGGTTTCAGTCCTGGCGTTATCTTTACTAGCTAGCTTTGGGCAAGCCTTCTCCACACCACATCTGTAGATGGGGATGCTAATATAAACAACTTCACCAACTCTGGGGAGGAGTAAATGAGTGAACACACACCATGTGCTTTGAAGTTCGCCCAATACCTGGTTAGTGGGCCACGAGTGTCATGTCTTTAGCACGTGGTCTGTTCTTACGTCTTTAGCTACTATCTTTCCTGCCTTGTTTTTAAAAACTGCAATATAAAATTATTTTACTGAGGTATATGACACCTTCAAGGTTTATGATCTATTTTCTAATTCCTTTTCTAGTACCTAACAAAATAGTTTCCCAGAAATGCTAAAGAAATCTTAGTTGGGGCTGGCAGGTGGCATGGTGATTGGAGTGCTGGACTCCCACATGGCTGACTCTCGTTCAAGTCCTGGACCTGGTGGCTTGCTTTCTCTCTTTCTCTTCTCTCTTTCTCTCTCTCTCTGTGCATCTCTCTCTGATAAAAGTGAAGAATAATAATAAAATAAAATAGTAAAATAAATAATTCTTAAAAAAAATCTTAGCAAGAACAATTTGACATACAAGTTAAAGAAGCAGAGAACTGCAAAAAAGTATTTCATTAAAAATTGCGACCAAGGCTGTGGAAGATAGAGGAGGAAAGGAATTTTTTTTTCCCCCTTAATGGCTTACATTTAATTTCAGTTACTTTTTTCTTTCTTTTTAAAAAAAATTTGCCAGAGGGCATATGTGCTCACAGGAGAGAGACAGAGAAAGAGACACTGATAGAGAGCATCTCCCATGGGGAATGGTCATGTTACAATCTCCTCTTCCATTTTTCCTTCCATTTAGGATTTTGGGTGTGCATGAAAATATCCTATATTCTATGAAAATTCATGTTTCGAGCTGCCAGGTCCAGGACTCTAAGTGTGTGGTTGGCCATGTGGAATGCAGCAGCCATAACCACCATGCCATGGACGTGCCTGGGAATTTTTAATAAGGGAATTGGGGAACATGTAGATGGGGTGTGGAGTATGCAGAGATGTTTAGCTCAGAGATGAAGCTGGGAGCCACTGAGATCTGGATGGTATTCGAAACCTCAGCAGTGGATTCATCTCAGGAGAATATGCAGACTAAAGAGAAGCTGAAAACAAAACACCAACACCTGGGTGAGTCTAAGCAATGATAAGTTGGGCAGATGAGGATGACTAGGCAAAAAATGACGAGGACAAATGGCCGGAGAGGGATGAAGACGTCCAGGAGAGAGAGTGGTGCATGGCGGTGAGAGAAGAGAACGTAAAAGTGATGGGGCAGCGTCAGCGTCCAACAGCTGAGAGAGCTGCAAGGTTCCAGTCCACGCAGCCATCAGGAGCTTTTGGGGGATTGACAAGGTCCATTTCCGAGGAAAGGTGTGCCCAGGAGTGAGACAAGTAGGTTGGGGAGGAGAGGCAGCTGAGACAGTACGAGTAGTCAGTTTTCCAAAAGCCTGGCTGTGAAGGAAAGCAGATCAAGCGGGTGGGAGTCTGTGGTCACAGAGTTCTTTGTTCAAGATTAACGACTGCTGGGAACCAGCAGTTAGCGTAATGGCTATGTCGCTGGACTCCCACGTAGTCGACCGCGGTTTGCGTCCCGGACCCGGTGGCTTAAAACTCACGCGGGGTGCGTGTGTGTGTGTGCCCAAGATCCCGAGAGGAGAATGGAGGAGAAGGGATTGTAGCGTGGCCATTCCCTCTGGGGGGTGATTTCTCGCTTTCTGTCTCTATGTCTCTGTCTTGTCTTGCGAGCGCACATGCCCTATAGTGAAAATCTCTCCCCCCCCAAAATAAAATAAAATAAAATAATAAGATTAACCACTTCTGGGACTGCACAGTGGCACACAGGTAGGCAACACTGCAAGGCAGGCCCGCTGCAGAGGACCTGGGTTCACGTCCAGAGACTTCACTGAGTGTGCAGGGCAAGCGTGTGACAGAGATCTGGGGCTGGTGGAGTGCACTGTGGTGTCGAGACCCTGCTGGGGGTGCTGTCTCTTGTTCATGGAAGAAAGAAACAAAAAACAAACAAACAAAGAACACTACATCTAAGAGTAAAGACCTAGTAGAGAGGGTTAAAGTGTTTCCCTGTGTTCTATGAAAATTCTTGTTTCTTCCCTTATACGTCCTGTTCAAAGGACAAGTGACATGGTCGTAATGCTGCTATGAAAAATCAATGGAAAATGCTTAAAATGGTACCAGTCCAGGGTGACTGCACCAACTGAGGGCTCCGCCCATACTTAGGGGGTGGCTGATCGGCAGGTCACACAGGGTTTAAGGAAATCAGTCCACTGGAAGAGGTATTTAGGAACAGATCATGAGCTAGAATTTATCGCCCAGTAAAAAGTCAGTAAAGAACTGAAATGTCCTCTTTTACTGGGTCATAAAGGCTAAATTTCAGTTTTCATCTCCAGGGTCATGGAAATAAAGCAACGAGTCTGCAATTTATGAGTCCACCTGGCATTGCTGAAACACAGTCTGCTGGCTTCCAAACAGCGAGGGACAAATACAGTTCCGCGTGAGACTGTGATCGTCTCAGAAGGGCTTTGTGTCGACGTGCTCCCACCCACCCACCCTGAGCAGGACTGTTTCCACAGCATGTTGCGATGTTTTGTTTGTAATGTGAAAAAGGATTTTCATTTTAAACGTATTCCTCATACTTTTGCAATTATAATGTACAGACTTCACTAATTTTCACTTGCTGCTTTTCATTTTATTTACAATGTACAAACTTCACTAATTTTCACTTTGCTAATTTTCACTTGGAAGTATGTCAGACTCATGGCTACTCCGTAGAAAGAAAAATACAGTACATTGAGAATCCTTACTATTTCTTGCTCTAAGATTTTGTTCTGTGGGAATATTCATACAGACATATAAATATAAACATAGAGATTATAATTACACTACAATTTAAATAATAAAAAAGTAGGAACAATACAAATGTCTGTCAGTTGGAGATCATATAAACTATCAGGTTGTCAGAAAAGTTATAATTTTTTTTTTCTGTTTTTCCATGCAAAAATGTGTCATGACTTTCCCAACAACTCAATACAATAAATTTACATATTGCTAGCTTTTGAACAATGATGCAGACCTAGATATACTGTAACAGGAAAAGGTCTAAGGCATGTTGCACATAAAAAAATCAAGTTGCAGAAAAGTATACACAGTATGATTCATTAAAAAAATGCATATAAACACATCTGTATGTATATGTATGTGAGTATATACACATAATACACACTTTATGTGTATGCATATGTCTGTGTATACACATATAAAGAGACAGACAGATAGATAGATATAGGTAGATAGACAGTTTAAATATCCCTTATTTCAAATGCTTGGAACCAGAGTATTTTGGATTTTGAATTTTTCACACTTAGGAATACCTGCATATGAATAGAGAGGAATCTTGGGGATGAGACCCAAGTCTGAACACTAAACTCATTTTTATTTCACATATGCCTTATATAGTCTGGAGATAATTTTACACAATACTTTTGTATTGTAGGTTTCTATTTATTTATTTATTTTTAAAGGGAGATTTTTGTACAGGGTGCATTTGCCAGAGAGACAGACAGAAAGTGAGAAATCACCCAGGGGGAAGGCAACATTGCAGTCCCTTCTCCATTCTCCTCGGGATTTGGGGTACCCACGCACATGGGTCCAGCATGAGTTTCAGCTGCCAGGTCTGGGACTTGAATTGTGGTCAGCCACATGGGAGTCTAGCACCCTAACCACACCACCACTGCTGGCACCCGTACTAGAGAATTTTGACTGTGACTCATCACACGAGATCAGACACAACATTTTCAGTCTGTGGTGTCATGTTGGCATTACTCAAAACGTTTCTAATTTGGGAGCATTTCTGATTTGGGATTAGGATGTCTTCTTCCTCTGCAGATAGAGAGGTAGGTAAGCAGGTAGGCTGGAGGTAGATAGGACAGATGGAAGAACTACCAAAAAGCCTGCTAGCCTTGATTTTTTTCTGAGGGATGGGGTTTAAGTGATGTTAGGGTAAGTGTCTGCCTAAGGCTCTGGTTGTATGCTCGAAAGGGGTGTCTGGATGAGAGTCAGTAGGTGCAGT